GCTTTTACTTCCTTCCGCTGGGCATCTCATCGAGGCCTCAAGATCGCCCTAGGGCCTGGATTGCCACACCTAACCCAGTTGGTGCTTCTAGTGGGGCACACGTCGACTACCATTGCCCACGCCCTGGCTCATCTGGCTGGCTTCCCTGTGTCCTCGACGAGTGATATCCGACTTTCCTATCTCCTCCATCATTCACTGGTCGCCACTTTGATGAGGACAAACGCAAGCCATTTGATTCTTCTTCCACTCCTCAATGTCCATCAGCTGTTGCAGCAGAATCCACTTGTACCCAACAAGTCGATGTATCTTAGATTCCAAGCGCCTGGTTTTCAATCTGGTTGTGGCACACCATCTCTCCCCTTCTCTAGTGTTATCAGCTTCCTCTGCTGGGAATGTGTGGCCGACTAGGAAGGAAGCACTAGTTTAACGAGTTGTGGTCTTAGAGCCACCACAGGCCCATCTTTCTATGTCATTGTCTGGACCTGTGGCTGCATCTAGATTTGCGCAGGCTAGCGCGATTGACAAGGTTTCAACGGGAAGGTGGCAATCAAAGCCTACAAATGTAGAGGTGATCGTATTTCATAATAAGGAAAACTTGGATCGATGGACTGTGGACACTTGTCTGATTTGGAATGACGGGGAAAGGAATTTGGGAAGGATTTCCTTGTATTTTGGAGTAAAGGAGGGGAAATTAAGAGGTCTTCATTCTCATGGTTTTCTGCAGCAGGAGCGGGTGATATCCTCTTTGTATCCCGAAATTAAGGATATAAATACTTTTGAATATCAGTCTGATTTGTCTCATCCAATGTCTCATGAGTTTAAAGTAGCTGCATCGCAGCATCAACATACTCTGGATGAAGCTTTGGAGAGGCCAAAACTGAAGTTGCTTCCAAGGACAAAGCTGATTGTAATGATATAAATTTTTTTCTTAGATTAAGAGTTATTTCTTTTTCTATTTTATATTTATTTTTTTTGATTGGATTTTATCCATTTCTTATTTTATTTTGTTTCCTTCATCTCCAAAATAATTAATATGATTTGATTAATTGGAGATATTTGGAATTACATCTTTCCTTTCATATTATTTTCTTTTTATTGTCTTTCCCATTCTAGTATTCATGTAAGATTTATTTATAACTTCTTTCATATCAATGAAGATCCTGCTTTATTCCACACTATTCTGAATTTCAACATATATTTATATATATATTATGAAAAGCCCAAGGGCTGATTTTATTGAAATAAAAAAGGATATATAAAAATGTATGCGGGGACCCACTAGAGTGACCCCACTCATACGATACCAAGTACAATAATACCCCAACAAAAAGATACAGATAGACTCAAAAAAATTTGAAACATGCAAAAAACAAATAGCTAGGGACAAGCCAGTTTAGTCCCGCCTCTTTCTCTAGTTTTAGGAGCAGAGCCAGATAACAAATTTTGAAGTGTCGTGCCATTGCAAGGAGTAACCAAAATATCATCCATTAAGTTTCCATATTTGAGTGTGCTTGCGGCCTTCTTTCGAGAAACGTGAGAAGTGTGAACCTGCCATTCTTTATCTGAAGACTGACTCATGTGATCCTTGATCTAATTTGATGTTAGAACCGTAGTAGGAGAAAAGACAGTCCTTGCCACTGCGATGGGTTCCAGTGTATGTGAAGTGTGAATTGTTACCTCTGCACCTGATGCTTCCTGAATAGGAGCTGTGGGACTATTCTGATTTTCAGTTCGAATATAATCTTTTGTAGTATGGTCAGGAGAAGGGATCCTAGACGCAGACACCAACTCCTGTCTTGTGGCGATTCTCTCCTCAGGTTGACTGTCATCAGGTTTGCTGGGAGCGCATTCAAACACATGAGGTGCACTAATAGTGTGTTCCTGCTTTTGACTATTGGTTCTCAACTGCTGATGCAATCTAAAACATTTTGACTATTTGTTCCATAATGTTTTTTTGTCAATAACCATTTTGAGCAGATCAAAATCAGACTTCTTCTACATCTGGTAGTGTAATATCTTGTTCAATCAAAATCATTGCAATAGAGAGCATAGAGAAATGAATTGTAGTAAATCTACCTGCAAGATTTTCCAAAGATAGTTCCAATTGCATATAAGATAGGTAGGTCAAAGAAATGAAACTTGAGTTCAGATAACCAGATAGGTGCAATTGAGGGTTCTTGACTGGGATCAAAATTAGGGGTTCATTTGAGCAATTTCATATGTTTGCCTTCAAATGTGATGAATTTCTTTGAGAAAATCTTCGTGTAATCATCTTCTGTGCTCAACTTTATTATAACACGCCTTCCGTCGAAATGATCCACCTGCCAATTCCCAATTAGTTTGAAATCTTCAAAAACTTTTCTGATGATCTTCGATTTAGGGCAACCTAATTGGAACTTTCCAACTAATGTAAATTTGTATTTTCCTGCACGAGTTAAAATTTCAGTGCCAGAGACGACCAAAGACGAAAATTACTGGTTTGCCCGTCTTTTTCTCTACTTTTGCCAGAGACGAAAATTACTGGTTTGCCCGCCTTTTTCTCTACTTTTTTGATGAGATTGCAATCGTCATTTCCTGCAACAGAATCATAGTAAATCTGCAGGCATACTGCACTATCTGCGAGGTGAAAATAGGACCTGCGTTTGTGAACCACTGTAGCATATGAGGGTTTGGTGGGGTTATCACCGGCGAGGGCAGCGGCGTAGGAAATCCCTAAGCCATTACCGCAGTCAGTGCCAACTTGCAACACAGTGAGAAGTTGCACGAATAGGGGTGTCGAGCGGCTCTGCGCAGACGCCAGAGGCAGAGCCGAGCAGACAACTGGTGTCGAGCGGCTGTGTCGCAGACGAGACGCAGGCCGTCGAGCGGCTGTCACAGACGAGATGCAGGTAACAAAGGCGACCGCAACACTGCCGCCAAACGAAACGCGAACGCAACGCGAGATGACGCGAATGGAAGCAGTCGACGCGAGACTACGCGACACGAGTAAATTCTGATGCCGAAAGCAACTATATATATATATATATTTTATTTATTTTTTTTTTTGAAAGCCTAAAGGTTGATTTTATTGAAATAGAGAAGATACATAAAAGATGTACCATCCATGTGTACTACATATATCATAAGTGTTTACTAATATATTCAATTATCTCATATAGATATCAACTGCATGCAAACTAAGGCTTTGCAATTTTATGAAATCAATGAAGTTAATTCACATTTATGATCATGAGATGTTGAGAACTAAGAAGATGTTATATGCTTTGCTTTTCATTTCACATTGAGATAGGGTGTTACAAGATTTATTGAGGAAACACATGATTTATAAAAAGTTACCTAGACTTGGATAAAACTTGTAGATAAATGGGATAAAATAGGAAAGAGTTATTGCAAAAATATAGAGAATTGAATCAAAATATGATAACTTGGGATATATTTGATTGCAAGTTTCGGTGTTTCTGTAGTGGAACTTATGGTATTTCTATGCTAGAGATGGTTTTTACAACTGTAGGGAGGAATTCCATGATTAACTAGCTATACTTTGTTACATGGAAGGCTTTTATAACGAATTCAAGTAAATCTGGAATTGGTTAACAATTGATTGATGCTTTACCAGAAATGGTTCCACCGTTTCTGGCCAATTATGAGGTTACGAAAAAATGGTTATAAGATTTTCACACTCCCCCTTAGGCTGTGAATATATGCTGATCATTCCTAGCTTGAAAATAAAAGAGTTGGATTGTAATTGACTAAAAACTTTTGTAAGAATGTCAATACTTCGATATAGTGGGAGTGTAAATCACCTTGATCATTTCTTGTTCTATTCTTTTTCTTGATGAAGTGCGTATAAATCTTTGGGGGGTGTTTGGTGGTACACTTAGGATTTAACTTATATCCAACTCCCAGTTAATCTCTTTTTTCCCCATTCCGTCTTCTGTGAGACGTAAATCCAGACTTATTAAATCCGACTGTGAGGGGGATTTAATGGATTTACTCTGCTGTTGCTGACGACCTTCATTCCCGCCACAGCTTGCCGGATTTACCCGATTTGATAAATCTTATTTAATGTTAATCTGGTGCTGCAGCCAAACACCGGCTTGATGTTTTTGCTTGTATCATGATGGACTGGATTCTTATTAGAATTAATTATAGCTTGATTGCCACACAAAATCATCATTGTTTATTAAGTATAATCTCTTGTTTTTTCATAAAGCCATCAAGTTGACTTCTCTTCTCAAATTTCGTGAGCCATAGCTAAGAATTTTGCCTTGACACTACTTTGAGCAACATCATTACTTCTAACTAAATTTTTTCATATGAATGGGCAATAGCTATAGGTTTTTTTTTTTGTTTTTTTGATAAAGCTTGTCCAATCAACCTTAATGAAGATTTTCAATGCTCCTATTAGTTCCTTTCTTCAAGAATAGTTCTTTTACTGGTGGCTTCCAAGTTATCATATTATTCAATGTGCGACTTCAATTTGTTCCTCCGCGGGATTAGTCACACATCAACTCACAACACTATCCTAGCAGCCCATAGGATAGGTAGACAAGTTTTACTATTAACTGCTGATACCTTTGTCCATTTGTAATGTGTTTTTTTTGGACCCAATAAAAGAGAATCCATTGTAATGCATCTTAGGAAATGCTTTTCCATAGGTCGCTCCATGAAATTGGGTGTTTGCTGCAAGCCTTTTACACCCTTTCTGTGAGCATTATGATTGTCCAAATCGTCTTAGTAGTCATTGCTAATTTTTGAAGTGGTCATTACCTAATAAGGTACTGAGTTTTGTTCAGGAAAATAACTTTAGTCTACCATTTAAGTTGAATTTTCTTATTGTCTTTAGTTGATTGTGGTTTCACTTTCCATTATTAACTTTCCAAAAATAAATTGTTATAACAATCTATAGAAGGACCTTGTAGCATGGTCATTGAATTCTTCTAAAAGCTTTGTCCTACCCTACTTGACTACTGATACATGCACTGGTTTAAAAATAACAGTGAAGGTGTACCAATCGAGTACGTTGCTATATTCCTGGCGCTTGTATTTCCTGGAGCTTTAGTTGCTTTCAACAATGATCTTCTGCAAGCCCTATCCAACTTTGCTTCCCTTCGAATATATTGCGCCGGAATCTGGCACAATGCAGTGGTAAGTTGTGTTTCTTATATAAACCAGTAGAAATTGTGCATGGATTGCTAGTCTGTGTTAAACAGCTTCATATTTTTCAAAACAACTTTATTTTATCTATAATGAGAGTTAATATGCATATATATTTATATATATTTATATTGTTCGATGTGATGTTCTTACAGTTTTATTAGTTAGCCATTACTGTGATGAGTTAATTCACATAGCTAAATAATTTTGTGCATAGTGTTGAATGATTTAGAAGGCAATATTTTTATATAAAATAATAGTAATTGACCTAACTTTACTCACAAAAATGCTTGAAGCTTTTAACGTTCGTTCTGTTAATTTATAGAAAAGTTGATGCATTGGAGTTACTGGTGCTCTTCAATACTTCAAATTGCAGCACATTTAACAATGGTATTACTTGACGCTTTATTTCTGGTGCTTTACCATACTTTTAATGTCCGTCCTGTTAATTTATAGAAAAGTCGATGCGTTGGAGTTACTGGTGCCTTACCATACTTCAAATTGCAGCACATGCAATATTGAGTTTTTTTTTATTATTATTATTTTTTATTTGGGCAATGGTATTGCACATACAATATTGAATATCACCTAGCACCTCGTCGCTTCCTTCCCTGCATCCTTCCTTACCGTCCCACTCCAGCCCTCTAACTGCCCCCTAAATCCCTTCCCAACCCATCGTACAACCACCAGCCCTTGCTCTTCTGCTTGCCTCTTAGACGATGCCACCACCGCCCTCAATTCTTCTCTTCCGACCCTAGCCGGAGGTTATTGTTGTGTCTTATTTCCATTTTGAGTTGTGTTATAACCCTGATCCCTTTGCTTAATAAGGTTTGCTTTCGTTTCCGTTGTTTTCAACTAGTTTCGATATCATTCGGTATTAAAGCTACCCTACTTTAGACCTATCCTACAGTTTCTTAGCATTCGTCGTAACCCAAAAAATTTTCCTTCATACCACCAAATAAACTTTCTACTTCCACAAATCCCAAACTTTAACCATGCCATCGAGAAGATATATGCTCGAGTTTACCCGGGAAGAGATACGGCGAGAGCCCCTTTGTTTTCAACAGAGGCTTCCAGAGATTGATGAGATAAACCACGGGGAGGTTACCCTCGATCGAGATATGGAGAGTCGAAGGGGAGAAAGAGAAGAGGATCTGAACCCTTCTATAGGGAGAATCTCATGGATGAAGAAGGTAGGCCACGATGTTTCGGAATCCAGTAATAGAGGAGGCCTAGAGAGGGGCATCTGAATCCCTTAAATATCATTTGGAGGGCACACAGACTTTGACATTAAAGTGGATCTGTCAGAGTTTATGGGGTTGTCAGCCATTTTATTTTATTTTTTTTTGTTTATGATTTTTGAAAAAGGAGATAAATTTTATAAATTTGAAAATAGTTTTAATATAAATATGTAATTTTTGATTTTTGAAAGTAATATTTTAATTTTAAAATAGATGAAACCAGACAAGTCTCACATTTTGGGTAGTTTAGATGACTGAATGTGATACCACAAGTAATACACTGATCCCGAAGAATAAACATATCACTTGTATAAGCTCAATCACCTAAACTAAAGAATTTGTGACATTTGTTTGGTCTGCGAAATATTTTGTATGAGGCCAACAAGTTCCCCTACCTAATATAAGGATTAGATAGAGTTTATTTTACTTGAGTTTCAAGTTCCCTATAGAGACAAACCCCTATAGTTAATTACATCTTAAATGACCGGGGTCACTTAAGAAAACTCTCGATTAATATCAGTGGTTTAGCCTTCAAGATTTCAAAGTTTATGTTTCCACGATTGGACATGAGAAAATCAAATGGGAATGACCTAAATAGGAACAATTATTTTAAGGAATCAAAAGAAATGAAGAGTAGAGTATATCACAGATTCAGGAAAAACCCTGGTGATTTCCCAACTATCCTATTGTTTGGCTTTATGTTTTTGAAATAATGTTATTTAATGTTTAATCCTGTAATAATGTTTTAATGTTATTTAATGTTTAATCCTGTAATTTATTTAGAATTTAGGACTTACATTCGCACGATATCAGATCGTGCAAATAACATAAAAATATATGAAGATTTACATTGTACCGTACGGTCACCTCGGAATCCTAAAGTGTTAGGACTTATAATTTGACAACAGGATTGTGCAAAGACCTAAAAGTGATATGTGAGGGAAAAGTGATATCCTAAAAGTGATATGTGAGGGTTTACGTTGCACTAGGCAAACTACCTCGAAATCTTATGGGCTGTTATTTAAACTAAGGAAAGTGTTCGGTGATGTGAATGTGTTTTGATATTGCAAATCCATCTTGAAGTGGTTCCTCCGTATGTCCTCGTCATGCTGCCCACGATGTTCGATCCAAGTTCTTCGTCGTAGCAACTTCAGGTTTGATGTCAATCTTATAGGTATATGTAATCACTAGGTTTTCTAATACTAAGGTATAGTGTGTATCAAAACAATAAAGCATGCAGTATAAAAGAAGAGAACAATATAATATACAGTAAAGAAAGAGATCAGTATAGCATGTTGGGAGAACAGTATAACATGCTGTGAGAACAATATAACATGCTGTGAAATAAAATGCTACAATGTAAATCAAACCTGTATATTTGGGAGACCCGCTGTTTCTTTAAGCGAACTAGTATTCATTGTATAAACAAAAGAAACATTGCCTGAAAAATTCGAGAAAATCGACAAATAAGTCACAACAGAAACTCGGGAAAATTGACGAGTAGCAATTCAAATAAAATCATTAAAGTTATGGGAAAATCCCAAGAGAAAAGAGACCACGAGTGCTTTGTCCTAAATCCAGTAAAACTTACGAAAAATCTGAAAAGAAGGGACCACAAGCACTCGGGTTGGGGCTAGGCTCAAATAATATATTTGTACTCGATGGACGTCACATGCTACTATTAGTCATCCGAATGTATAGAACCCACCACTCAACTAGAAGAGTGTCCTACTAAACCTAACTTAGGAGGGTACTCCTTAGCCCGACATCGATAATTAACAAGTGGACAACCGAGTTGTAATACATTTAAAATTTATATTTTCACATGCACATGTATTTCAAGCATACAAAAAGGAAGTTATATTAATTTTGTAGTAAAAATATTTTTTTTATAAAACATTGTATCTGTTCTTATCAACTTGTTTTATCAATTTTGAAAAAGTATAGTTGTCCACGAGTCGATCATGTCGTCGGACATAAGACCGCCAACAACCTAAGAAGGTACGAGTCCCCCGCTAGTCTTGTGTCGGTGAATGATACTTTCGTCCTATAGTTCATCAGGCCCCAGAATTGCGTCATGGTGTTGTAGGATGAGATATCATTCTGCTCTACCACCGGCGTGCCATTGTCATAATCGCCCTAAGCCTCAAAACAAAACAGATCTACTTGCTACCTTGCTTGATGGTTTCATATATAGCAATTCAAAACAAAACAGATTTACTTGCGATCTTGCTTGATGGTTTCATATATAGCAAAAGACTATATATGAGCACTTATGTATCAGACATAAACACAAAAAATCGAATTAAGAAGCAAGGAAAAAAAGAATAAAAATGAGGATGAGAGAGAGGAGGAATTGATCCACCAAAAAGATCGAAATAATAAAGGGTGGAGCAACCCTCAAAACTTTGACGAAAGATCTAAAAACAAACCTGAGGTCCTTGAATCAATCCAGAGGATATATTCTTCTCAAATTTTATAATTGGATCAACTCAAGAAGGGTATCCTTTCCAAATAGCAATTTTATGAGTTTTCAAACCCTTTCCTGAGTCCAATTTGCATCAACATTATGTTTCCTTCAAATGAAATTATACAAGCATTTTATATTTCACAAATTAGATGAAGAAAGATAATTCAAGGATAGCAACCTTTTTGAACTTCCAAAAATCACGCTCATATCAAAATATTTCAATTCCACTCTTTGTTAAAAGCTTTCCACAACTGTATAAATGTTACATCAATTTAGAAAATATAGAAGCGTTCATAGCCGGGGCAAAATGAAACTGAACAATCCTCAACAGGCTCATGGATAACAGCAGGAAGAAGAGCAGGGCTCACAGGTAAGGCCAGGAAAGAGAGCAGGGCTCACGGGCAAGGGCTTCAAGAGAAAGGCCACGAAGGCAGCAAACACCAAGTAAGGCTCACGATCAAGGCAGTAGGAAGGAGACCCATCACATTTAATTTCACGGGTAAGGGTAACAAGAGGAAAAGGCACCACATATTTAAGCCTGACTTAACCACCTTTAATATAAAAGAACCATAGGAAGAACTCATAGCCAGGATAAAATGAGAAGCAAATTAAATCCCAGCCAACCACAAGACAAATCTCAATAATAAGGCTCGAGGGTAGGGGCAAAGAAGAAGGCGACAGAGGCAGCAAACACCAAGTAAGGCTCACGGCCAAGGTAGCAGAAAGAAAACCACCATAGGTATTGTCATTGTATTACCTTTGATATATATAAGAGAGTGAATGGACAAACTACCATAAACTATCCAAACCGAAGATATTTTCATCAAGTAAGACATAGTAATGAATTGATCAGCTTATTTCAAACATTCCCATATAGAAGTATATATTGAAATCATGAATTTTGGGATGACAAACTTGATTACCAATAAAAATCTCAAAAGGGAACATTATATCCAGAATTTTCATCCCAACTGAACCCAACAGAGGGGCAGAACAGGAAAATCGTGGCCAGCAAACTTGAGCCCAAGAAGAGGAGCAAAAAAAAAAAGGGAACCACAACAGGCATACCCGAGCCCAGCAAGAAGGGCAAGACAAGAAAATGAATAAAATATAGTTTCAATCCAACTAAACCCAGTAAAAGAAAAAGAGCCAACAGATAAGGTTTTGAACGAAACCAATTCCTTGTCTCCAATCTAACTAAACCCAATATAAAGGCTAAAGAAAAGAATTCAGTTTAAGCCAAGACCTTACTCAGCATATGGGCAAACCAAGCCAAAACC